TCCGAGAAAAGGATGGAAGGATCCTGTTCATATGGACCTGTCTTCAGACAGAACACTAATAATAAAAAAATAAAACACTTAAGAGATGTAACATATAAGAAAAATCTTGATTTCAGTTTATAAAGAAAACGATTTTAAATAAGTTACGTAACGGCCTGCATTTTGAGTGTGAAGTTACTTTTGAAATTTGTTATTGGCGATCCTAAAATCCTTCTTCAACGCCTCGTCTCTCAAATGGCAATGTGACTTTTGCCTTTCGTTATCTGTGTTTGTATGGCATTACGTAATATGGACAGATGTGGTTGGCTGGAACATCCACCTTATCATCTAGTACGCATGGAATAAAAATAAACAAAACATGAGCAGAACTGAAATCACATCGTCATGTGGTGTGACTGGAAAGATAGTGAAGCTATGTGTTTGTTGCATTACACCCGAGCAAGTCTGAATTAATTAGTCTTAGATCCTGAAGTCTGTAGGGAGAGTCGTGTTGCAGGGCAGTCGCATAATGTCCAGCCACAAGTTTCCTCCTGGATTCCTCTTTGGGACTGCTACGTCAGCGTATCAGATAGGTTCGATTCCCGGCGGTGCCCGCATTTATAACTTGTGTTGGGCAAGGCCTTGGTCTAGGCAACACGGAGTTTTCCTCCGTGGCATCCCAACAATTACTCCTTTCACACGCAGAAGAAGGCAATGGCAAACCACTTCTGGATCATCTGCCAAGAACGTATATAAACAGGTCCCAGTCCGAGAAAAGGATGGAAGGATCCTGTTCATATGGACCTGTCCTCAGACAGAACACTAATAATAAAAAAATAAAACACTTAAGAGATGTAACATATAAGAAAAACAATTATTTCAGTTTATAAAGAAAACGATGTTAAATAAGTTACGTAACCACGTGCATTTTGAGTGTTCAAGTTACTTGTAAAAATTTGGCTGTGACTGATTGGAGATGCGAGAGGAATCGAGAAGAATTTGTGGTAAGAGCAGTGGATTTATTGTTTGAAGACAAATACTGGTAAATAAATTGAGTTGTACATTTCTTTTTACTAAAGTTAAGTCGTGTTATGCAGGTAAAGGTGAAAGTATATGGGACAAGTTGACGCACGATCATCCAGAGTCGATCAAAGACGAGACCAATGGAGATGTGGCCTGTAATTCGTACCATCTTTACGAAGAAGATGTTCGGCTTTTGAAAGATTTGGGGGTGAGGATCTGCAGAATTATGGCATGGACGGTGTGGATTAATTAAAGTTCCAAAAAAAAAATTAAAATGTAACGTGTCCTTGCACGAAGTGCGTAATTTATAATTCGTGTTTCTGTGTTTGGTCTCAAAATTATTTTTTAGAAATTTGTGTATATGCAACAGATGAATATAGAGAGAAATTTATATTTCAAATATCGCATTTACGAAATGTGTGTGTTTTTGGAGCATGTTTATCAAGTCTTATTGAGTTATATAGATATTT